CAGGGCAGCCAAGGTAGCACCTTGGGGGCAGGGGCAGGGGCGGAGCCAGGAGTCAAACCCAGATTGCATCTTCAGGCTGTCAGCACCAAAAGGGTCCCGCACAGCAGGCTGGGGTTTGTGTGGGCGTGAGTCAGCGTGAGGGAGTGCGTGTGGGTATACGTGCGTGCGTGAGTGTGCATGGGGGCTTGTGTGAGTGTATGCCTGTGGCTGTGAGGCAGACATTCTTTCCTGGGAGGACACGGGCATTGGGGGTCGGGAGTAAATGATGGAGATAGAAATGGGAGGTCACAGGAGCCTCCAGACCCACTGACACGTGTTGACGAGGACGTGGAGAAGTTGGGCCCCCGTGCCGTGCTGGGGGGATGTGACACAGTGCAGCCACTGCGGACGACAGTCAGCAGTTCCTCAAAACATTAAACACAGAATTACCACGTGGCCCGGCAATTATGCTCCTAGTATGTGCCCACAGGAAACGAAAACGTGCGTCCACACAGATACTAACAGCAACGTTACTCACAAGAGCCAAAAAGCGGAAACCACCGAAATGTCCATCAACAGATGAGTGGATGAACAAAATGTGGTCCATCCGTACTCTGGAACATTACTTGGCCATGAAAAGGGACAAAGGGAACACTGATACATGCCACAGCGTGGACGCACCTCACAAACACCACGGGAAGAGACAGGCCAGTCATGGAAGATGATCCATCGTAGGATTCCATTGTGGAAATGACCAGAATAGGCCAATCGACAGAGGAGGAAATACTGGTGGTTGCTGAGGGTGGGGCTGTTGGGGACAATGGGAAATAGCCACTAAGGGGCACAGCGTTTCTTCTTGGGGGTGGTGATGGTGGTGGACACGTTCTAGAATTAGATCGTGGTATGTGTTGCACAATTCTCTATGTTAAAAGCCACTGAATTGTACACGGAGAAAGGGTGAATTTTAGGACATGTAAATTTCATCTCAATGAGATGAAAAACAACAACAACAACAACAACAACAACAAACAAAACACCACAAAACAGGCTTTTCCCAGGTTCTCATGCCTTGATCGGTTTTCTTTCCTTCTCCGGCCCCTGAATCCCCATTAAAGAGAAAGGAAAAAGCCCTTCTGTCTTTGCAATAGCTCTGAATTAATCACAAACCAAGACCTTAAATTCAGGACCCACTCCCTACTCCTCCTCCGATTTACAGAAAAGACAGTTGAGGCCCCGACAGGGAACACCCTACTTTCCAAAGAGCCTGAGTTCCATCCCAGCTCTGGCCTGATTCCACAGTCTTTGTTCTTAAAACCCACCCAGCAATTCTAAAGTGTTCCCCGGGCCTGTGGCCACGAAGGACATTCTGCCCCCCACCAGCTGGGGAACCCCAAGCTTGCAAGATGGGCCATGTGGGTGTCCGGTGCAAAGTGAAAATGTGGAGTTTCTCGTTTAAAAAAAAAAAAAAAAGTATTTCCGTCCTCTCTCTCTCCCTCTGCATGGGGGTACTGGCTGGTAGATCCTCACGGGGATGGGACCAGGATCCAGCCACCAGAGCCCATTAGGGAAGTGACTTGGCCTGAGCCCAGGCTCGTGCTTCACTGTCCCATCCACCTCACTTACAAAACACAAAACGAAAACTCATGAGGAACGTTCAGGACGGTTGCCGCAGAGAATCAAACCCTTGTGGCCGCACCCAACCTGCACCCTGCTCGCATGGAGGGGAGGGGGGGTTGCCTCGGGCCAGAGCAGGACCAGCAGAGAAGCCTCTAGAAACAAGCTCTTTGGCACTAGTCTTCTGCAGTTTGGTGCTCACACAGATATGCAAATGGCCTGGGCCATCCTTCTCACACATGAAGGCTGCCAGCCATGAATCACCTGCCTCCCTGTTACAACCCAGATTCTGATCTGGTGGGTCTGAGGCGGTGCTGGTGAGCCCCATGCCGCCAGAGCACGGTTCACACTTGCTGGTGCAAGGGACACAACTCAAGAGTACTGATCCTGCACCCTAGCTGAACTCTTACTAACACCAATCATTTGTGCACTGGATTCTTTGGGGTTTTCTACACGGACAGTCATTATTGCCCAGAGGAAAGGACAGATCTGTGTCTCTCTGTCCGCCCTTTGTGTGATTAAGGAAGTCCCCTCTTCTCCGACTCTGCTAAGAGTGTATGTGTGTAAACCATGAATGGGTGTTGAATTTTATCAAATGTTTTTTCTGCATCAGTTGACCTTGCTAGGCCTCTGCAGCTACTGTTCTGGGCCTGGTGCAAGCTGGCGGGCACAGCAGAGGGCTCAGCCGTCCCGTGGGAGGTGTCCAGGTCAGGGCCAGCAGTAGGTGGAGGCTGGCCATCCACCCTGGCCTTGGGCCCCGGGGCCAGATGTTTGGGCTTAGCTGCCTGGCCAAGCAGGGATAGAGTGACCGGATAATTAAGCACTCGCCTCTTTGGGGCTGGCAGAAGGCAGCAGAGGGTGGAGGGACCTTGGGCCAGAGTCCCCTCCCCAACCTCAGCCCACTGACGGGGGAGCCCGAAGCCTAAAACCCCGTGGGGCCCTCTGGGGGGGACCCAGAGTTGGGGTGCACCTGCTCCAATCTACAAATGGAAAAGCAGACCTTTTGCCTCCAAGTTG